ATGAAGGCCTATTGCTGGGTACATTCTACAGGTTGACAGCTCAATGAAGATGAGCCGTATTCTCAATATAAGAGATTACTAAAATTGTGTTTCAGAGGTATGTTTATGATGATAAGATATTATATATTGCAATACATTCGATTACCAAACAGATGCAATGTAAAACACAGCTACAATGTACATTCAAACAAATCCATCAAATATGCAAACACAGAAGACGCGGATAAAGTAAAATAATTCATGAATTGAAGTGATGGATGTATCATGAATTATTTGTTGAAATTGTAAATATGAAAACATATAATCTAGCTGTATGATATAATCAAGTCTTGACCAGACAATCCAGTGATTGACATCCTGAGTAACGATCTACGCAATTGGGATACGATGACATGCATCATCCAATCCCATAAGTCGCCTCTTACGAAAGCATAGTCACTTCTTGCGGCAAGCATGGGTTGCCAAAAACCTATTCTAACCCAGATCTTCAGGAGTCAAATTGAACTGAATCAATAAAAGATTTTCTGCATTATTCATTTATAATGAGAGTTCATAATCATCTTTTATTCATTTCAAATATGGGAGAAACACTATTCTATTCTCCTAAATTTCACCTAATAATTTACTGAAAAAAATATTCATTCTGGTCCAAACACTCTATCGAGATTCTAGAATCTATTATCGTCAAAGGAGACAATGAACCTCAATTGGCTTGACAGCAATGATGTTGAGTGAAAAAATATTCAATCAAAGTTTTATCCTTATCTTAATCAGGCTGTCAACCTTAGTGTACTTCCTGTGTTATCCAGCATCTTCATGTACATAGCAAAGATCTGAGCAAGCACTTGCCACTACCTCGATGGCAGTAATTGGCCCACCTACAGAAATACCTGATAAGATTGTGAAAGTTTTATGACTTAATTAAACTTAGTTAAAGGCATGTATAGGGGTAAGTGACATCAAACTCACAAAAGACTTAAAGCATTTTGTAAAAAAATCAGAACCTCCCTTATAGTTTAATTACCCATTTAAGATCAGTTGACAATCTACTGGTTAAAATGTTAAATTTGGAACGCACAGTTCATGGAATAAGTCTTCAGCACTTCCTGAGAAAGATGGAAAAAAATATCACAAAAATCAATATGAATTTTACTAATGTGTTCTCCGAAGCACGCGCCACAGTGGAAAGTGATACTTTTCCCCAACACTGTGATGTTAATGATATACAAAATGTTCGGGGAAAAAATCAAATGCTTCATTTTATCCACATCACAGATACTGCCAGGTGTAAAAAAGACACAAGTATTTGATATCTAATTGTCAGGTTTTCTCACCTTGCAAAAAATATCTACAAGGCAGAACTGCCAGTTATTCTCAAGTTAGATGATTTACTTTATAGTAATCACAGGGTTTTACTGGATGCAGCATACTGTGCCCCACATGTACAGCAAATTGATAATGGATGCAAACAATTTTAACTGTAAGTCCTATATGGGATGAAAACATATAACTGACAATTCTATTCTGGTAAGAAACACAATCAAAGGTTATGGGTGTCAATGGGGGATTTTCTTCAATCTAAAAATTAAAAATCTTCATCTAAAACAGGCTTAGACTTCAGAGCATGTGCATTATGGCATCAATCAAATTCTGGGAAATCAGGTGAACCATGCCACAGGTCGCCAGCCTTTGACCCCAATAGTCATGTGTTGGACCCCATGTTCATGTGGTGGACCCCCATATTCATGTGTTGGACCCCCATATTCATGTGTTGGATCCCCATATTCATGTGTTGGATCCCCATATTCATGTGTTGGATCCCCATATTCATGTGTTGGATCCCCATATTCATGTGGTGGACCTCCATATTCATGTGTTGGACCCCCATATTCATGTGTTGGACCCCCATATTCATGTGGTGGACCCCCATATTCATGTGGTGGACCCCCATATTCATGTGGTGGACCCCCATATTCATGTGTTGGATCCCCATATTCATGTATTGGACCCGCATATTCATGCGTTGCACCCCTAATATGTACTGCTGATTGTCCCCTGGTCTTTAAAAAGTTAGACCCACATAAATCCCTGTAACTGCATGTATAGCTTCCACTCGTTACATAGTTGGATTACCAGGTGATACAAAAGTTGCCTTCATCATTAACGGTTTGTAAATTGTTTCCATCAGAGGCCTTTGCCTCATAATCGATTCAGGAACCATGCTGTGAAAAAACCTGCAGATTGAAGTGATAAATGTTTCATGACTGCCACATGCCTGTTCAGCTAAACCCTGGAGCACACGTCTCAGACAAACCTCTTCCATGGAGATATGGTGGGGTCAAAGTTCTACTCAATCGGATTATGAGGGAGTAACAGGACTTGGTACCAAATATTTTACAAGATAAAAAGTTATCTCCCGTCAAATGTTAACAGTAAGCAATGTTTTCTGTTTGTTTTTTATTGCACTCAGCAATATTATAGCTATGTAAGAGCTGCCTGTATATAATAAAGTCTGGACCAGAAAATTCAGTGATTGATATTGTGAGCAACGATCCACGACATCAGGGTATGACGACATGCTATCAACAAAGTCTCTGACACCCGTTCCTATAAGTTGCCTCTTACGAACAGCATGGGCCCCGTGAAGATTCCGGGGTAGAATAGGTCTTCAGCAACCCATGCTTGCCGTAAAAGGTGACTATGCTTGTCGTAAAAGGCGACTAACAGGATCGGGTTGTCAGGCTCGCTGACTTGGTTGATGCATGTCATCGATCCCAATTGCGTGGATCGATGCTCATGATATTAATCACTGGATTGTCTGGTCAAGACTCGATTATTTACAGACCACTGTCATATAGCTGGAATATTGCTGAGTGCGGCGTTAAACGACAAACCAAACAACCAACCAACGAACAGTATGGGTTGCTGGTTACCAATTCTATCCCAGAATCCCCAGGGTCATATTCATTCTACGCATTGTGGAGCTGTGACCTCCTTCAGTGTGTCCTTCAGGTCACAGCTGCAGCCTATCCTCAAGCCTGAAATAGATCCTCCAACCTTTCAGACTTGATGCAAATCAAATAACAGAAGAAATTAACATTCTCCCCTTCATGAGCTGTCATGCTCTCTCTGGTCTTAAATGACCATTTTATGACGAAAATAATTCCAAAGAATTTTTTGCCCTACACGATTCTATGCAAGGACAGCAATATAATCCTGGTACCTTTTTTAATCTCCGACCCAATTATGTCCATCCTCAACGTACATCCCTCGACCTCCAATTAATTCCGTCATGCGGCAAATATCAGCTTCACGTAGACATTTAGCAAGCAACCCGCAGTGAGGCAGAAAGCAAACTACCCTCATTACTTCAACTGTGCAGACAAAAGTAGGGGAAAATCATCACTTGTTGATTGATTTAACTACAATTACCTCCCTTAACACAAGATGGACTCTTCACAAGTGAGGAAGAATCTTTCATGGACAAGAACCGATTAAAAATAGCATGAAAATAATACCCCTGCGCATCTTATAGATTTGTAAGGGAGATCCCTATTCACTATAGGTGTAACAGATTGAATTGGGCCATCTCTAAGAAAATGTCCATGTCAATATCTAAAGCAATTAATGCTACAGAAGATGATGACCTTGACAGTGGTGACCTCCTGAAATCGGTAGTCGAAGAGTGTAGAATGACTCATATGAACATAACGATGTTGTCTCGACTATACTCGGTAGTGAAAGAACAGGTAAAAACTAGCCGAATCCTTTGTTAATTCTTGTTATCATTGAAAATATTAATTGGTGGGCACTGGAATGAGTGAGTTTGGCGTAAAGCCGCTTTGAACAATATTTCAATTACATAATGGCGTCAGCTAAATATGGGGGAAAACCTTACAATAGACGCACATTTAGCCCCAGTTATCTTATTCAAAAATATATATCCGCAACATAAAAAGTAAAATTCAAACGGAGCCCAGAACAATGTTTAATTTCAGGTGAAGCAATATACACTTGCAATATCATTTCAGACAAGTTGGATTCAATTCTCTAGGGTATGGAATTCACACTAGCCTAACAAGATAACCATGTTTACCACTTTTGTGAAACCCGTGATAAATTGCTGTGATGAAATCAAGACATTGCAGGTGAGGTCAAATAGGGTTTACCATTGAGTTCAAGGTTTTTGCACTTACATAGCAACGTGCATGCATATGTGTGCAAGTTCAAGTGCATGTGCGTGTGTCTTACTGTACTAGTCGAGCTTTATACCGATCTTAGAATAAGTGCAAACCCATTGAGATGACACCATACTGCAGTTTAACATGGATACCTAGACTAACATCTAGTTTCTGAAATGAACATATCGTACAGAAAAAACAGTTGTTCAGTTATCTTAATAAAAATATAATAAAAGGGAGCCCAGTGACTCTCTTCATTTTCAGATACTGATACTGCAGTAATCTAGACTTGCCAAACATTATAGACTTGCATGGGCTGAATTTGATATATATTTGTATCAGGGTCTGTAAGACAGACTAATGGATACCCCACTCAGACACATTTGACTCACACCCTCAGCCGACCAGTCCTTGTTTTAGCCCCTTAATGCCGAGTGCCAGGCATGGTAACAAGTACCATTTTTTAACATCTTTTTGTATGACACGGCCAGGTGATCGAACGACAGACCTTCCGCGCTCCAGGCAGAAGCTCTATCCACGGGACCACCAAGACATTGGAGGTCTTACACATATTTCAAATGACTGCCGATGGATTATGCAGTGACATGGTACAGAATATCAAGGTAACCTAAAGTGAGAGGAATCCTTCGTAGGATGCTAATCCTCATGGTTTGAAACTTAAGAAAAAATTATTCTGTCCTTGGGACAGGATATCTTGAAATATGACATCAAAGCACTTCTTTGAAGCATATTGCCATAGTGTAGTCCATTAAACATCCATGTTCTAAATCTGCAAGAAAGGCAAAGTTTTGTACCTACCTGAAATGGACAGTTAAAAACTGGCCTGATGAGTATATTGTTCGAGGTAGAATATTCCCACATAGCCCTGCATTGCCTCCTGCCTCCTCCTGGAACACAAACAGGATTTATAGTCACACCACTTTATAATGTTACCATCAGAAACCCTGAGTGGGTGCATGTTGTTTTACGCTGCAGTCAGCAATATTTCAGCAATGTACTACTCAATGTTGGATAGGAATTATCAGATGTGTCAGACATATTTGAACATACAGTGACATATTGGGAGAATCATTTTTGAGTATTGTGAAAAAGAAAAACAAAAATGGTGTAGTATACCATTGTGGCTGTAAATCTGGATCAGATTATGCAGTGAGATCTGGGAAAATCATGTCATAAAGCGGCATCATAATCATGTGACACTTTAGATCACAATCATTGAACAATAGTTCTACTCATTTGACAATGGATCCTTCTCATGTGACAATGGTATCCTACTCATGTGACAATGGATCCTTCTAGTGTGACAATGGTATCCTACTCATGTGACAATGGTATCCTACTCATGTGACAATGGATCCTTCCAATGTGACAGTGGTATCCTACTCATGTGACAATGGTATCCTAGTCATGTGACAATGGTATCCTTCTCATGTGACAATGGTATCATTCTAATGTGACAATGGTATCCTACTAATGTGACAATGGTATCCTACTTATGTGACAGTGGTATCCTACTCATGTGACAATGGTATCCTACTCATGTGACAATGGATCCTTCCAATGTGACAGTGGTATCCTACTCATGTGACAATGGTATCCTACTCATGTGACAATGGTATCATTCTAATGTGACAATGGTATCCTACTCATGTGACAATGGTATCCTACTCATGTGACAATGGTATCCTACTCTTGTGACAATGGTATCCTACTCATGTGACAATGGATCCTTCTAATGTGACAATGGTATCCTACTCATGTGACAATGGTATCCCACTCATGTGACAATGGTATCCCACTCATGTGACAATGGTATCCTACTCATGTGACAATGGTATCCTACTCATGTGACAATGGTATCCTACTCATGTGACAATGGATCCTTCTAATGTGACAATGGTATCCTTCTCATGTGACAATGATACCCTACTCATGTGACAGTGGTATCCTACTCACATGACAATGGTATCCTTCTCATATGACAATGGTATCCTAGTTATGTGACAATGGTATCCTACTCATGTGACAATGGTATCCTACTCATGTGACAATGGTATCCTACTCGTGTGACAATGGTATCCTACTCATGTGACAATGTTTGTTTATTTGTTGTTTAATGCCACACTCAACAATATTCCGTTTATATGATGACGGTCACTAAATAATAGACTCTGGACAAGACAATCCATTGATTGACGTCATGAGCATTGATCCTTGCAATTGGGATACGATAACATGCATCAACCGAGTCAGCAAGCCTGACCACCCGATCCTGTTAGTCACCTCTTACTACAAGCATGGGTTGCTGAAGACCTATTCTATCCCCATATGACAATGGTATCCTTCTCTTCGTTGACAATGGTATTCTTCTCATGTGACAATGGTATGCATCTCATGTGACAATGGTATGCATCTCTTGTGACAATGGTATCCTTCTCATGTGACAATGGTATGCATCTCATGTGAATGGTATGCATCTCATGTGACAATGGTATGCATCTCATGTGACAATGGTATCCTTCTCATGTGACAATGGTATGCATCTCATGTGACAATGGTATGCATCTCATGTGACAATGGTATTCTTCTCATGTGACAATGGTATCCTTGTGTGGAAATGATTATCCTATCAGGGCTTTATTTAAGGAACTTGATTTAACCTGCACCAGGTGCAAGCTATAATGAAAAGCTAGTTGCACCAGACTAAATCAGGTTGCACCCTTGTCCCATACTGATTACAAAAAGGGTATCCTTGTCATGTCTCAAGTGGTATTCCTAGATATGGTATCCTAGTCATGTGACAAGTGGTCTCCTAGTCATGTGACCACATGACTAAAATCCATTGGCCAAGAATGTTCCAGTCATGTGACCAGGTGTTTCCATTATCACCAGCTCCGTCCACACAGCCTCATCACCCAACAGCTGAGACAACAATTCAACAATCACAGAACAATTACTGAACAATCATCACCATCAACACTCACAGATCACCAAAGGAGACAAACATGTTTAATTAGCTGTGAGAACATTTAATCATTTAGCAACTAAAAACTATGCCATTTAGCCACGTTGGCCTTTCAGTAGCAGGAAATGGCTAGGTAAAGGTTCTTAAATCGGGCCCAGATGACACAGCTATTATTCCATGCATACACTGAAGCTAATTTCAATCTGTGTGCTTTCTAATAGGTTGGGTAACAATCAAGTCCCCAGCCTTTCCATTTTAATGTTTATTGCAATTTTTTTTTTAATCCAGTTTGTTAAACTTCACACGACGATAATCACCATATTGCATGCTAAACCAACAAATCTTCCCCAACCTCAAGTCATTACCATGATTACAGGTGTAAGGCTACGACAGCCTGACTAGGACTACAGCAATGATATAAAGCCTGCTTTCTACATGCCTGACAAAGGGGCAGGTGGCCTGAGTGTGGTTACATGCTGTCTACATGGTACCCTACAGGAGGCCTCCTTACACAATGCAGTGCACCATGCCGTACATGCTTGTTACCCCCTCCCAGGCTCTCTGTGGCTCAATACCTCGTTGACAAAAAGAAAATGCAAGGCTCACTTTGACAACATTAAATCTTTACGCAGCCCTTCCTCTTAGTTTATGATTGCCGAGGATATTGTCCTGGTCGAGGGGGTGTTCCAAAAGGGTCCGATTCTCGTGAAAACATTAACGAAGCATTTACAAACATTCCCGTCCTGTTGTACAAGCAGTGTTGTATGAGCAAACACACCAACAACAATCCTACTCATACTCTGAAGATTTTATGGCAAAATAAAAGTGAGTTCTACAGCCTTCTCTTTTAGTGTTGCTAAGTAGCTAAAATAAACTGCCTGGACGGAATTCTCTCCCTACAGTGTACAATTGTGATCCAGACTCCACCAAATCGATCATTTTTATTACAGTCGAACTAATGTTCTACTAATGAGGCAAGGGCAGCGGAGTTTGTGAATAATGGAAAAGTGTGACCAACCGTACGCACTAGAGCTGATAGGTTAAGATCTTTTCCTGATAAGTGTCATCCCCACTGCAAGGGATTTGAGATTGAGTGCTCCCACAGAACACACACAAAGGATTCGCGATTGAGTTAAATTAGTTGCGTGAGCCTGCCCAAGCTAATAGATCACCTCCTAAACATTGAAGTGTCCAACTTACTATCTACAAGTTAATGCTTCTCTCACAAAACGTAATCATTTTTCTGGTAGAGTAACGTAAGCTGGTTTTGTAAATCCCGGGAGAAAGACAATTTAGCAGCATCCACGGTTGGCGTCATGCAGATTCATGGCATATGCAGCAAAATATCGGCAGAACAGAGTGGCATGCACCTGATAGATTGTACAAGAGTAGATGACCACAGCAGGCACAGGTGAGGTGTGTGAGCCACACGTTGATGGCTATCTACATGCTGGTGAAGGTTGTGTTCAACCATACAAACATACACAGCAATGTGCAGTTATACAGTCACGGACAGAACTGTGTACACAGTTACATACAGTTATCTGCTGTCATAACCTGTGTGTATGTATACAACTGTGTATGACTGTATACAACTGTGTATGACTGTATACAACTGAATGTCTGTATACAACTGTATGTGACTGTATACAACTGTATGCCTGTATACAACTGTGTATATCTCTATACAACTGTGTATGACTGTATATAACTGTATGTCTGTATACAACTGTATACAACTGAATGTCTGTATACAACTGTATGTGACTGTATACAACTGTATGCCTGTATACAACTGTGTATATCTCTATACAACTGTGTATGACTGTATGTCTGTATACAACTGTATGACTGTATACAACTGTATGTGACTGTATACAACTGTATGCCTGTATACAATTGTGTATGTCTCTATACAACTGTGTATGACTGTATATAACTGTATGTCTGTTTACAACTGTGTATGACTGTATACAAGTGTATGTCTGTACACAACTGTGTATGACTATATACAACTGTATTTCTGTATACAACTGCGGATGACTGTATTTAACTGCGTATGACTGTATACAAATGTATGACAGTATACAACTGTGTATGACTGTATACAACTGTGTATGACTGTATACAACTGTGTATGACTGTATACAACTGTGTATGACTATACAACTGTATGACTATACAACTGTGTATGACTGTATACAACTGTATGTGACTGTATACAACTGTGTATGACTGTATACAACTGTGTATATCTGTATACAAATGCATGACTATACAACAGTACGACTGTATACAACTGTATTTCTGTATACAACTGTGTATGACTGTATACAAATGTATGACAATATACAACTGTGTATGACTATATACAACTATGTATGACTGTATACAACTATATTGAACGTGACAACTGTGTGACTGTATACAACTATGTTGAATGTGACAACTGTGTACGACTATATAACATGTTTGACCAACTGATGAGTGTACTGATGATGTAAGCACACAGGTGCAAGTGATACTTACCATCGCCCTTGTGTAGACGTCACTATCATCATATATGTACAGAGCATCATTGCAAATCCCATTCTCCGTCCTGTCTGGTATATCCAACTCAATGATCCGGAGCATTAACTTCCAGTCATCATTTTCAGCTATAAAAGTCATACGGCACTCCAGATTAATGCCGTAACTATTTTTGTCCCCTACTATTGTGTGTGAATATACAGTGGCACCGCCTAAATGTTTCCGGTCCCCACAATCCGCGCCATCCATATAATCTGGAAAGAGACAAAAACATTGTTTAATAATAATGACAAATGGTATACTTTTAAAAATGCCACAAACAAATATGTAAACAAGAGTCATCAGAAGATGACAAATCAACCCAGCCCACACAAATTGGAGTGAGTGAGTGAGTGAGTTGGGTTTAACGCCGCTTTTAACAGTATTCCAGTTATATCACGGCGTGTCAGCTTAATGTGGGAGGAAAGCCCGAAGTGATGCAGGTCTCAGATGTTTACCAGTTCAGTGGAACCCACGAGCATGGGTATGGTGCTGACAAACCTAGAAACATAATCGTGGCGAACCGGGATTCGAACCCACAATCATAGGTTTCTTGCGTGCCCAAGGGACACAACTCTGCACAGCGAATCGCGGCGCCTTACACGACTGGGCCACCCGTGCCCCCCACACAAATTCAAAGGAACAAATTATCTGGCTGTTTCATTAAGTCCAACTTGATGAGACAATTTCTATCTAATCTGACTGTCTGTATACAAGAGTAGTTATTGAGCCATCAAAACAATACCATGGAATTAGGAATTCGGAACTTTGTATTTCTATGTCAGGTACACACCACAATGAAAAGTCAAAGTCAAACTTGTTGCCATGGAAACGGAAAAAATATAAATTCTAAACTCATCAAAGTAGCAAATGGCACCATTAGGCAACCTGGTCTTTGTATGTGTACAGTTTCAAGAAAAAATACCCATGTAGTTTTAGAGATATGGTCCGGACAAACACACCACTATGAACAGAGTCAAACTTTTTGGCATGGAAACAAGAAAAATTAACATTTTTAAAATTCCTAAAAAGCAAAAGGTACCACTTCAACCCTTGGTCAATACATGTACCAGGATTTTAGTTCTGCTCCGGAAACTACACCTCCCCCCACCCATTTGAGACTAAGTCCAACTTGTTTCCTTCGAAATCGAGAAAAATAAAAAATGCTAGAAATCTGTAATAAGTAAAAGGCACTTCAGGATCTGTTTGACATATCTGCCAAGTTTTGTTACAAAATATTGAACAGCTTTTGAGTCGAGCTCCGGAAATGAGTGAGTGAGTGAGTATGGTTTTATGCAGCTTTTAGCAATATTCCAGCAATATCACGGCAGGGGACACCAGAAATGGACTTCACACACTGTACCCATGTCGGGAATCGAACCCGGGTCTTCAGCATGACGAGCGAAAGCTTTAACCACTAGGCTACCCGACCATCCCCTCCGGAAATGAAATCCACCCCCTTATGAGACTAAGTACAAATTGTTTCCATGGAAATGAGACAAACAAAAATGCCAAAAATCTGTGTGTGCGTATGCATGTGTGTGTGCATGTGCGTGTGTGATCAAGGGAGCAATGATCCACATATCAGCATGAGCAATCTATACAAGGCCACACCAATATATCTATGGCAAAAGCTGATCTGCCTCAGGTTTTTCTCCTCCCAATACTATCCACTACAAGTTGGTGCAATGACTCTTTGTCTGCATGCCTCTCCGGAAGGCCCTTAGAGACTTGGGGTCCAACACACACTGTCCGTCAGACAGAACAACGATTCCTGTGGAGAGGACTGGAGAATGTCAAATAATGAAATAATGTATCTTCTATTTTGACAAGCATCAAAATATGACCACAGTTGTGTTCAAAGTGAAATAACACTCCTTCCTTGCCACCATAACCAACAAAACACACATCATCCCACATCCCTCATTATTTACACATTCATGAACTGTCAACAAATACTCCCTTGAAAAAGGAATATTGTGTAGAATATCAGAATGTTTATTGTACAAAACGTCCCCTTGAAGGCAGGGGGAAAATACGAAAATGAGTATGATATCATTGAATACTGAGCTGCACTGGTGCAGTGGTCATTGTAATACCACCCATGGAGACCCTGTGTTAGAATAGCTCCCTATCGTGGTCGTAAGATGGGACTTAATGAATCATCGTATTCCAATTGCATGGATCGATGCTTATGATGTCAATCAATGGATTGTCTGTTCCGGATTCAATTATTTACAGACTGACGTCACAAATCTGAATTATTGCTGACTGCGGCGTTAAACAACAAACAAACAGATCTAATTCCTGGGCTCCTAGTTCATTCTTTTACTTACTTGTTGATAACTAAGTAAAAATAAACTTTTTTTAAAGTGGCCAAGCAAATTCACGCTTCCTAAAATTAGCATGTGACTTTACATATTATCCTGATGAATAAAAGATTATGTTGATTTGAAACTTGCTTCTTTTTTATTTGAAATGCGCTTTCTTCTTTACCAATACAACATGCAGTATTGAATTTAATCTTCAGTTCATCCACATTTTTCTCATCAGTTTTAGTATCTACTGCATGAAATTGAAGCGTAATAGCTAATTTAGATGTGGATGTTTTTTGTTGGTTGCAATATTTTCTATGTCTGTGAGAATCAGTATGCGCATTAATATTCTCTCAGTTATACTTCTCACTGCCATTTAAAAAGTCGTGACTTCTAGCAACAGATCCCCAAACATTGTATCTGTCTATTTGAGGCAACCAGTCAAATTCTAGCAACCATGACTCCTTCAATACACATGATGGAACATTCTTAACTTTATATTTCTTTTCTAGGTCGATAGATTTATCAATTTCAGTTGTGTTAACATTGGTTAAGTTAAAATATTTTGAATTTCCTTTCAAATTGACCGGAATCGCCATGTTTACATGTCTGCTACACAAGGGATTGTGGGAACCCTTTCATACATGATCTACATTGCAAAGCTGGGACCCGTTTCACAAAGCGATCGTAGTGCTAAGACGATTGTAACTCCTATACTTTAACATAGTCTTACGACTGTCGCAGCGCTACGATAGCTTTGTGGAATAGGGCCCAGGATCAGATGAAAAAAACTAGTGTTACTTCTCTTAGAACGATCGATGAAAACTGCTAGAAGTATTGCCAATAATCATAACAGATGTAATAAAAAATTGCAGACATGGTTAACATGACTGATTGCAGTTTAAATTAATTTTCTCGAACTTCACTTGCAAATGCGACGACCAATTCACTCGCAGCCTGAAGCATTCAATTCATTATCCTTGGTTTCCAGGTGACATCATTAAAAACTTGTAAACCCTCCTGCCCCAGCAGCAACAATCACATGGTGTACCAAACTACTAGTAAGCCAAGATAAGTTTAGTTGTGACCTGACATTTTGTTTGTTTTTTTTTGTTTAAGATGCACTCGGCAATATTCCAGCAGTATGACGGCGGTCTGTAAACAATCTAGTCTGGACCAGACAATCCGATGATTTATCTCATGAGCAATGATCCCCGCAATTGGGATACAATGACATGCATCAACCAAGTCAGTGAGCCTGACCACCCAATCCCGTAAGTCGCCTCTTACGACAAGCATGACCTGACATTTAACCTTGTGAAGAAAGGGGTAGGGGGTGGTCTGCAACAAGTAGGATGATGGATATATGCAAGTTCAAGAGCACATATTAGTACGTGTTGATGAGCAACACGTCTGTCCACGGGAGCGTAGTCAATTTCATCGTCACGACTTGCACATGCACAACATGCATACACCCTCTCTACCCGTAACAAACCAAATATGTTCGCCCAAATTCTGTGCCCTGCCTCAAACCCGTCTTGTGAGTTGGTTCAACTTATCCTGGGCCCAGTTCCTCAAAGCGATCTTAGCACTAAGGTGATCGTAAGTCCCATACTTTAACATGGCTTACGATCATCGCCACGCTAACATCGCTTTGAGGAACGGGGCCCTGGATTACCAGCAGCCACTAACTGTCATGTTTCTATCATGCTTCAAGAATACTGACGTTGATCCATACTTGAATCTCTCAAAAGCACATGATTTTTGTGCTTCAAATTGGTTGGTTGGTTCACATCAATTACATGCCTCCAAACGTCAAGATTCAAGAGCCAAAACAACAGGAGTAGTCAGACTGAATGAGGTCAATTAACAAGCAACTTAGAAGAATGTTAACGGAAAGTTCACACCCAAACAATTCTTATTGAAAATTGCCTTCAGAAATAAACTATGAAACATAACAAAAACGACAAGCTTCAATTAAATCACACAAATAAACACTCAACAGAAGACATTTCTTTTTCTAAGATATTATGGCAACAGCTCAGATTTCAGAGTCTTCAACATAGATGATAATCAGTAACTTTTGCCTTAGAGAAGGTGAGGTGAAATTGGGTTTAACGTCGCATCCAAGGTTATTGCACTTACAAAGTTTGTTTGTTTGTTTGTTGTTAAATGACGCACTCAGCATTATTCCAGCCATATGATGGCAGTCAGTAAATAATCAAGTCTGGACCAGACAGTCCAGCGATTGATATCATGATACTATTTTTGTCGTAAGAGGTGACTAACGGGATCGGTCGGTCAGGCTAGCTGACTTGGTTGAAGCATGTCATCAATCCCAATTGCGTGGATCAATGTTCATGATATCAGTCACTGGATTGTCTGGTCCCTGACTCGATTATTTACAGACTGCCGTCATATAGCTGGAATATTGCTGAGTGTGGCGTAAAAAAAACAAACCAAACCATAATATCAATCAATGGTATATCTGGTCAAGACTCAATTATTTACAGGCAGCCTTCATACATCTGGATTATTGCTGAGTGCAGACTAAAATGTTAACAAATAACAATGCCAGAAATAAACAATGGTTCAGCAACTCATGTATGACATCACACATCGATACAGCAGCTGAGAGCTGAGCTCAGAGAGACGTCATCAATACTCAGTGTTATCCGGGCTTCTATTGTACAGTGTAACTGATCACCAAATGAATATTTCAGCTTTGTCCCATGACACTTTTAAAGGGAAACAAGCCAGTGACAAGTCATAATTCTTTACTTTCAGAAATGGTAATGTATTATATATTTCCAACACAGCACAAGGGAAACATGAAAATTCCAATGTGGCTATTTAGAATGATTGTGACTTCAAATATATCCTAATCCATTATGGACAAT